GCCGGATGGACATCTTCTTGGTTGTGAGGAATAGTGTATACCCGCTTACGCATACCGGGCATCTCAAAACCAAGATCCTCGGCCTGTGACTTGAGCTTAGTGTCTGGAGGCCGGGGATTAGGACCCAGTTTGGGGTCGAACAGGCTCGGAGCTGTTAGTTCTTGTTCTCGCCGCCGTCTTACAGCTCTGGTCGAGGCAGAACGGCTAAAAGTGCGCTGATGAGCAGGGACGGTAGATGAACCTAAACTTTGACAGGGCATCGGACCGACGGGAGTTTTCTGCGTTCTCGTGCGGCTATGTGCACGAAGGTGGCGGTGTTGCTCATGCTTCCACTGAGCCCGCAGATGTTTGAGATCCATGCCCAGATCGCATGCTCTTAACATATTGCTTTCTCCACTCGCCTTCCTGACCCAGTAACGCACGAATCGAAGACGTTTGCTCTTAGTGCTGTCCCAGCCAGCAACGCTACGGATCGCATCCATTGTCGTGAACGCCTTGCTGTTGAAGCGACCGACCATACCGGCGAACAGAGCAAAAAGAACATCCGAATCTGATCCCATCCGCGCCATCATACAAGCCGGGCATTGGTCTGCCTGATAGTGCCACTTCGATCCGCACTGAATCGGCTCATGACCAGGGGGAGCGGAAGCACCCGAACTAAAGTTGGGTTGCCACATCCGTAGCACAGGTTCTAGTTGACGGACTTTTGACTTCTGATCCGTCGTTAGAAGGCCGTGGGTCATTACAAGTGGATAGAGAAACTTGCCGATGGCGCCATCGTATTCGTGACGGATCCATTTGAAGATGTCATTGACAAGATTTTGGTTTAGGCCCTTGTGTGTCGTACACAGGTTCGTTGAGCCGAAAGAGAGCCGCGAAGCGCGTAGCCGGCTAGGAAGCCGTTGTATAGCTTCCTTGGTATGTTTACGATATAGCGCTTCCTTGCGCTCATCGCGCAAATCATTGGGAGTAGGGACATGCCGAAAAATACGGACAAGTCTCTTCATGTCGCTGTTGTGGAGCCGGCGAGTCTCCATCCTGTGTAGGAATGAAGGCATCGTGAAATGTTGTGAGATGTCTTTGTGGTTGTAATGCATTGTGGGTGCCTTGTGATAATGGTTGTGTTTGGTCTGTTGTAAACATGGAGGAATGTGGAGAGTTTAAGAACACGCACGGGACGTTTGCAATGAGACAGAGTGGTTTCATGATGCAGCGTATATTGCGAGTGATAGGGCGCGGCTGTGTAGTCTGTGAAAGTTATCAGTGTGTATATATCATAGGACAAGCGAAAGAGGAAGAAACAACTCGAACTCAATAAAGTATCAGTAGAGATACCTGCTCATATGATCTGTTGGAGTGAAAGACAGTATCGGTGAGACACTCATCAGTAAAGCAGCTAAGGCTCATTGGCACCAACGATCGAAACAACGCAACGTGAAAAGCCGTCGCTAACGAGCGAAGGTTGTAGTATTTTGAATGGGAACTCAAATTCGATGTAATCCAACCGTCCAGCAAACGCCGTCCCAGAATCGTACAGTCCGTGAATGAATGACGACAAGATACAGGCCGTATTTCAGAAATAGCAAGAGAATATGCACCAGTGATGCAATGCAGCGGATGTGATAGAACCATCCGGAAGCTATACACCCGAGACTATACATTACCTGCTGCAACAGCATGATGTTTGTTTACACATAAAAAAAAAGTACAGATTAATGTGAGCTTTCCAACCCCAGAACATTGGCTCTCCTGCCGTGCAGGTTTTGATTGACCTTGTTCGTCAAATCTTTGAAATTTGTGCCAGCCGTTGATGAGATGCTGCTAGCCTTCTTGCGCGAGATGCGAGGTGTCGATGCGCCTTGTGGCACTACACCCTCGTCCTGTGTCAGGCCCGAGGCTGCCGCGGTCGACATGGGTACTGCAGTAGCTTCGTTCTCTTTTTCTTGGTCGACCTTCTGCTGTGCTGTAAGACGAGCACGCTCGTATTTGGCAGTCACATCGCCTTTGTACATTGTGCCGCCAAGTCGGTCGAGGTATACGAAGAAGGGTTGCGAAAAGTTGGTCTTGATACCCCAGCTCTGGTGATGAATGTCGTGGTAAGCGGCATTGTTGGGGAAGATCCAGTGGATAGGGTCGTAGGGGAATGCGTAACCGCCGTGATCGAGCACTGTCTTGATGGTAGAGCCAGTGAAGAACCACATCGACTGTCGCATTGTCATGCCGGTAAGCAGATAGCTCAAGCCAGCACCCAGGGTATCGAGCGCAAACCCTTCGATCGGGTGGTTGTACAGAGCGCCGTAGGCATATGGTACATAGAGACGGTGATGCCGCGAATGAAACGTTACTGCGTGGGTTAACAAAAGTCGAAGAGCATGACACGGGTTGGAACTTACCATATAACCATCTGTTCAGGTGCATGGCACGGTGCAGCATGTACTCCCACGCGTCCATGATGACTATGGCAGCACTGAATTGGATGGCAGGTATGGCATACCAGTACGCAAAGCTAGCCACAGCCATCTCCCAAGAAGCAAAGGCAGGGACGAGAGTCTGCTCGCCCGCAACTATCGCTGTCTGCAGCAGCGCGGGGTATTTGCCACCGGTGACAACGGAAGAAAGTATCGGTTGCGAAGTAGCGACCTTGGAAGCCAGCGCGATCGGGTTGACGCCTACCGCGGACAAGACGTAAGGAACCGCGCGCTGGGCAAGTCTGAGCTTCTGCGCGTACCAAGCCACATCGTACTCGGCTTTGCCGGTTGTCGGCGCCTCGTCGATTAAAGAAAGGCTGAATGATGCGAGTATCTGGATAACTTGCTGGAGTATGACGTCGCGCAGCACTTCGTAGCGTGAAACATGGTTGCGCTTCAGAACCTCTGCTGGCGTGTGCAGCCGATACTGCGGGAAGAAGTCGTACACGTCAATGACGTGGAAAACCAGGGAGACAACCCAGTATCCGACGACAGGCAGTGCGGCTTGTATGAATGCATCAGAGACCCACGATGTGAGAGGCTGAAGGGGCTTGAGGGTGTATTCGGGAAGCGGCGGGAGGTCGTAGGACGTGATGTTTGCGCTCGCCATGGTGCGGCAGCGGTGCGCTAGGAGAGCGGATTATCGATTACAACTGTATGTATGCGAGACTGAGGAGTTGCGCAGCGCAGCCGGCGAAGACGTCGAAGGTGCAGCGTACTCGAGGCGAGATCGCGGTGCTGGGCCAGCTATGGGGTGACAAAGACGGAGCCGGAAGCCGCGGACCAAGGAAATTAGGGAGAAGGCGCGATGCGACGGACGAGTGATGTCGGTATTCGTGCTGGAGGGCGGATGGCGCGCAATTGACCAGTCGAGCTCAGAAAGGAGAGGCTGAGGTGGGCGGAGCGAGGGTTGGGTGAAAGTCGTGTGAGAGTGGTGCAGCAGCGTGCCTGTGACAGCACCAAGGCATGACGGGGGTTTACGATATACGCGCGCATCATGACATTTCGCCGCCGGGCGCCCGGGCGGGCCTAGTCGCTCAGCCACTTCCACTTCCACCCCTTGCGGTTAGCGCGCTTTTCACACCCAATTTTCGACCCCACCAATTTCTCCTTCACGCCTACAGGCCAGCGCTTCTTTTCCGCTCCAGTCTTCAACCCCTCGCCTGCCCGCCCCGACCAACCTACACTCTTTCCACACATCCCCAGACCCTACTTCCCTCTACCGCCAACATGATCATTTTCAAGGTACGTTGTGCCTGCGCTGGGTCGCTCTTGCCTGCGCCCTACCCCGCCTTCCCTGCTGCACTTGATGCTGCTTTGCGCATGCAAAGAGCCTCTTGTCTTCTCCACTAGTCGCGTAGTACTGACATCTGCCAGGACATCATCACCGGTGACGAGATCATCTCCGACTCCTACAACCTCAAGGAGATCGACGGCGTCGCCTACGAGGCCGACTGCACCAAGATCACTGTCGGAGGAGAATCATTCGGTGGGTACTGCCAAACGAGATGAAGATCTGGCAGGCTAACGACGTGTAGACACTGGTGCCAATGCTTCCGCTGAGGAGCAAGAGGAGGGAGCCGACGACCAGAAGGAGACCAAGATCGACGTCGTCTACTCTTTCCGCCTGAACGAGACCGGCTTCGACAAGAAGGGCTACCTCACATACCTCAAGGGTAAGAACGCTAGGGCAAAATCTTCCAGACCCAGGACTAACGATAGACAGGTTACATGAAGTCAGTCAAGGAGGCCCTCAAGAACAAGGGCGCCGACGAGGCTACCATCAAGGACTTTGAGAGCAAGGCCTCCGGTTTCGCCAAGAAGATCATCGGCAACTTCAAGGACTACGAGTTCTACACTGGCGAGTCCATGAACCCCGACGGTATGATCGTCCTCCTCAACTACCGCGAAGACGGTGTCACACCCTACGTTACCGTCTGGAAGCACGGTCTCGAGGAGATGAAGGTCTAAGTCCAAGAGGACTTGGCTATGGGAAAGACGAGGCTTGGTTCACGGTTCATTGAATTCACGATTACCTATTGCATGTTTGGGAAATATCCGCCATAGTGCGAAAAGCGGAATGGCACAAATCTAGACGATCTTAAGGAGCCGTACACGATACAGCATATTATTCTCTACCCATGCTACAACCTGCCCTCTAACACCTGTGATGGGGCTTGGTGGAGGCGACTATAAATGGTGAAATGTCGAGTATCAAGCAAGTCTCGCGGCGATGTCAGAATCAGTATCGGACCATATCCAGGGCTGGCACTTGAAATTTCGCCTAACTCAGCTCGGTGAAACATCTCATCGCGTGACCACGCGATACCGCGTATGTGCACAGACCATAGGTTTCATCACCTAGCAACAGCAGCCTCAGGCACACATTTAGCAATCCTCAGCCTTCCGCGACTCACCCCGCTATATCATTACGTCCTGAACCTATTCATTCTTCTTTTTTGTCGCCGCGATCCTGCCAATCTTACTGTCGCATGAAGTCCAAGGTACGAAGGAACATTGTTGCCCCGCGTCATGACGGGTAGCGGTGGTCCCGCCGTTTCGCTACCGGCAACTCCGCGCCACCGCTCTGGAGCAGCCCTCAACGAGCTGATTTGCTCGCTGGAAAGACAGTGGAACATCGGTCTTAGGCTTCGTGGTAATGGATGGTCACCAAACAAAGCCATCCCGAGCGATGCGGCCGACAAGGTCAATGCGCTTATCCAATTCCTCTTCTACAGCGCACCGACGGCGCTCGAAGAGGCGATTGAACAATTCAAGGGAGACGCCCCTAGTTTGACGCGTGAGGAGCGCTTGGAAAAGCTTCGTGAGATTCTGTCCCGTGTTAAAAAGGGTGAATTGGAGTCGAAGGGCAGGACGCCGAGGAATGAGCCGCCTAAAGTGCGGGCGACACCCTTTAGTGGTAAGTACAAACTTGCTTTTTAAGTTTCCTTCAGAACTAGCGCGTACATTTCTTCCATGACGGTAGACTATATCGGTGCATGATGGGGAACCCATATATCTTGCGGACTCTGTGATAGAGATGGTCCACGTTATGCCTTCCTCGAATTGTAATTGCTTCGTGGGTCGGACTGTCAGCATGAAGCTATTCCGTCATCATGTCAGCTACCATTCTTGATGCATATCAATGAATGCATATTGTTTGCATAAATAGTAAATCAGTCAGACTGTAGCTCATCGGGACTGGACTGGGAGAATGTCTTTGCAATAGCTAATACAAAGACAGGGGTCAAGCCTACCTCGCAAGTAACAACTAGCTTGCATGATGTTCAGCACGGCGAACATGAGTCTTGTGCTACTGCTGATCCAGGATCACCCACAGACGTTGACACCGACGATGAGACGGATCAAAAATACGAAACACCGCGATCACCGTCCCGGTCGCCGTCACCATCACCCTCTCCATCCACTAGGTTAGGACAGACGCTCTTTCAGGCAAGTAACCATGCCTCTTTACATGTCTCTAAGAAACGGCCATCTGAAAGCTCCAACCATTCCGAGAACTCGCAGAAATTGACCAAAACCTCGAAAGGGAAACAGGCTGTCAAATCCTTCAACACTTCGCCGATTCCACCACCGCAATTTGACTTCAAGAAGCCAACACCCGACATGGCTCGGTCTTTCCAATCCGTAAATTCCGTTTCATCTTCGGTCAACACCTCCTTCAACAACACCACATTCTCCTCCCAAGAGACAGCAAATACAACAAACACTTCATTCACCTCGTACGATGGCGCCATCGAGTTACAGGAGAATAGGTTCTCTAGGCCCCAATTGAAAAGGACGAGTTCGACTACAATCGGTTCTCTGGATGATGTGGAGCTTGACCAGGCTATGTTGTATCCCGGGAGCGAAGTGCGTGAGAAAGATATACAGCAAGACCTGAACGAACACTTTACTCAAGGGAGTAGCGGTCAGAACAGATCTACTTATGGCTCTGTTGATGAGACTGGTCTTCTTGAAGCATCTTTCGAGGTTGAAGAGAAGGAGACCGACCCGCGAGTAATCCCACATGACAAGATGGAAAGTTCCAGACCACCCGCCGTTGTTGACAATCGCCATGGGCAATCCCGTGCATCATCGACGCCACGGTTTCGATCTAACGGAGTTCCAAACGGTCAAGAGAAATCGCCGGCTGCTGTGCAATCTCCCTCGAAGATACCACACGAGATTCGCGATCTACCTACCCAAAATCTCTTCGTGGACGCGCTCCCACCAGGGCTAGAACATATCCCATACCATATCTTGTTCATCTGCGAACGTCTAGCGATAGACCACTCAATCTCAATCTTGGACCTGGTAAGCGGTATGGATATCGCTACTGTATCTTCCGATGCAGAGGCGTTTTGGTCTTTCATTGACGAACATCGGAAAATACCGCGTATGAAGCTGCGGGAGTCAAACCGTCTCTGGCAAGCTGCGAAACGCGACTTTGATGGGTTCACTTTCAGAGGACACATCAATCTCAGCCCCAAACGCACTGGCCCGATTCTAAACCTTACATTGTTACCGGTACAATCGGATCGATCATGCCGACTAGAGCGAATGTTTGGCTCCGACCGATTTCTCTACTTATACACGCCAGTCTTCGACTTCTCCGAAACAAATCGTTTCACGGGTGAGCGGCTTCAACAAATTTGCAATCAATTTCAAGCGTGGCTACTCACAGAACACCACTTCTTGAACCGCAAGTGGAGAGTCTTCCATGTTGAAGATGTGAAGAAGCCCAAGACCGCTCGACCCAAGGACATGGTCTATGACAAAAGAATCGTGCTGTTCGCCACCGAAGGATGTGGAATTGAGCAACCCTATTCAGTGGGCCAAATGCTCGATCGATTCCTACCATTCCACATCAACAGACACCAAAGCTTTTGCAAAGCCTTCGCTCGTATTGAACTGGGGCTTTCTCGAACCACCCCTACGTTGTGCTTTGAGACGTCACAAATCATCCACGTGGATGACGACTTGGCCACAAACGATCCGGAGGACACTATGTACAATGACTCGGACTTAGAGTGGCAGGCGATTCCGGATGGCTCGGTCATGAACGATGGATGCTCAGTTATCTCCGTTGGCGCTGCATTAGCCATATGGCAGCTATACAAGAAAACAACCGGGATGAAGGGACCTTTGCCCAGTACATTCCAGGGACGCATTGGCGGAGCCAAGGGACTTTGGATGATTAGCGCGGAATCCTACACCAAAGATCCGGAGCATCTCAAGCACTGGATCAAGATCAACAGGAGTCAGTGGAAGTTTCATCCACCCGCCGACGATTTAATGCATCATCATCGAACGTTTGAGGTCTCCAACTTCAGTTCTCCGCCTTCACAGTCGGAATTGCATATATTGTATATACCCATTCTGGCCGATCGAGGCGTGAAGAAAGAAGTTATTGCTAGTCTCATGGAAGAGCGACTCGAAAGCGAACGCGAGAAGCTGCTACATTTACTACCAGATCCAGTCAAGGTCTACGAATGGGTTCATCAGAACGGTACGAAGACTCAGGCTGAACCTGACTGGCAAGCTGCACTGCCGGTATCCTTAGAGGAAAAGTTGAAGTTCTTGCTCGAGGCGGGCTTCGTACCTACCAAGTTTCCCTACCTTGCCAGAAGTCTCGAACGCTTTATCCAGACAAAGCATGTCTTCCAAGAATCCAAGCTACGTGTGCCTCTCGCAAAGTCCGCGTACTTTTATGGAATAGCAGATCCTTTTGGAGTCTTAGAACCAGGAGAGATTCAAGTACAGTTCTCTTCCTCATTTGTCGACGAGGATACCGATGAAAAGTACCTCTGCCTTAGGGACATGGAAGCTCTCGTCACTCGTCAGCCTGCCTGTCGCCGCTCGGATATCCAAAAAGTCCGCACGGTCATACGACCTGAACTGTCGCATCTGGTCGACGTAGTGGTCTTTCCTTGCAAAGGCCGGTTCCCACTAGCTGGGAAGCTACAAGGCGGCGATTACGATGGTGATATGTTTTGGATTTGTTGGGAACCTAAACTTGTGCGCCCTTTTCTGAACGCTCCAGCGCCAATGACTACACCCAAGCCTGCGAAATACGGCATAGAGACACGGACTGAGAAGCTCGAAGATATCATGAACACCAGCGAACCTGAACAAGTGGACAACTTCCTCAGTAAAGCTTTCGAGTTTCGTAACAACTCATCGCTGCTTGGTCTAGTCACCACTTTCGCAGAGAAACAAGCATACACCGAAAACCGCATTCATTCTCAGATACTTGAACGACTGTACGATATGCATGACTTGCTAGTCGATGCGTCTAAACAGGGCTACGTATTTACGCAGACGAAGTTTGATAAGTATGTAGCCAACTTGAAACCAAGACAGCCGCGATATAAGGAAGAGATGAAAAAGTGCGCCAGCAAGGGGGACTCAGCAGGTGTTGAGAAAATCCGTAAAGCAGATCGGCGAGTTCGATCCAACCATATAGTCGATTACCTCTACTTCGACATCGTAAGAGCACACAACATCGAGACAATGAGTCGAGTCAGGTCCGTTCTCTCGGAAGCTATTGAGCTAGACGACGCGCTTTTGTATCCAATCGATCACCTCGCCAAGAAGGGATCGGAGACTATTAAGCAAGAAATCCTCTCTCTGACAAGAAAGCTGGACGACGTCAATTGTACTTGGAATTCCGGCTGGCATGGTGATGTGAGCACGACGGAGCGGCTAAACGCTGTTGTAAACAACTGCTACCAGAAGTTCCAGGCTATACAGCCCGAATACCCGGACGACACTGATATCCGGCCTCTGCTTGATGACTACCTTACGCCTGGTTCATGCATGTGGGACACCATCAAAGCATCTGCATTATATGCACAATTCAAGAGGCCGGAGAAATCCAGTTTCGTTCTGAAAATGGCAGGACGAGAGCTTGTGAGTCTCAAGGCCAACAGCTCTGAGAAATCCAGAGCTATAGTCTCGTCTATACGCATGAACATGAAGCCAAAACCAATCAAGGCACAGGTCCAGTACGAAGAGGAAGAGGAAGACGACTTTCAGACCGCGCTCGAGGAGCTCACCTTGTAGTTGCCTCCAGGTCGTACGGAAACGGTGTTTATCTTACGACGCTTTCACGTATCGGCTACCTCTCACTTTGGCACCATACACACATTATTCGCGCAGGATCATTACAGTTATTTGGGTGTTCAGGAGCGCTTATACAATCATTTCGACAGGGTCTTGATCTTTCCACCAGTGTTCGATCCACTGTATTTACTCATTGGGTACTCGAAACATCATTGCACCATCCATGGTTGCCGTTGCAATACCATGTACAAATCAACGTCTCTGGAGTCAGTCCAAGAGTCTCACTGAGCCATTCATAGCCACATCTTTTTAGATGGTGGCACAAACGTAGTATTAGGAGGAGGAGGACGAAGAAGGAAGGAAAATGAAGACATTCCGGTTGAGAGTCTGAAGAGATGTATAGAGGGGGTTAGAAGATGGAAGTGGAGGTATAATTCGGGGTCTGCTCCATGTCACTCATTTGTCTCTCTTCCGATGATCGTAGCTCCAAGCCAGTTCATTGTGATTTCGCTCCTTGCTCACAATTCGGTGCTTTTTATACTCTTCTACTCGATCGTCATATGCATAGCTCTAAATGATATAGACCTACACGTGATGAATATGCAGAAGCGCACGCATCAACCAGTGCTTGTCGCTTTGAGCAATAATTGGGTATCTTTAAAAACATCCACGACTCTCCAGTACATCTTTAGCACACGGCTCACCCCATCGTAGGAGCAGCTGCTGCAGCCTTGATCTTCAGATTCCTCCTCTCTTCTTCTCTCCGCGCTTCCACACCAGCCAAAAACTCCATACGACCCAGATAGGCTTCCTTGGTCTTTCCATGTGTATCCAATTCCTCTGCGATGCCCTCTTTGTCCACGAAGCCTGTCCAGTCCATGCGCGATTTGTCCACGACATTGAGCTTCTGCGCCTTCTCGACCTTCTTCGCGACCGATATGTCTGTTTCTGGCGGAATTTCTTGCTCGCGTTGTAGATCGGCAGCGGCGGCACGGGGCCAGAAAAGTTGGTGTTCGGGTGCGAGGGCGCGGACGTAGCCTGTAGGGTTGGGGTCGAATCGGGATGGACGGCGGAGGGGGCGACGGATCTTGGGTCCACTAGACTCGGAGGGATCTTTGGGGGACTCTGTCGTGGGTATTGTTGCTGCGGACGCATCGAGTGTCTTCCATCCATCTTTGAGGTATTTGTCGAGCTGCGAGCGTGGAACTTGCTTCTCCTCGGTCGTGTCCTGCCCAGCGAAGGTGAAGACTTTCTTGATCATGAGCTGTTCTTCCTCTTCCGCTGATACTGGGATGTTGGCTACGGGCACGTGATTTTGTTGTGCAGCTGATTCATGTGATGCTGTGGAATCCAAAGGCTTCAGAGGCGCTGCTGTCATTTGGGCCCATAGCGCATCGACATCTACAGTTGCGCCCTCGGTCCTTGCAAGCGGTCTCCGTTCTTTTCCCTCAATCCTCCGTTGCGCCCGTGTTTTGACAAGTCCACCCTCCCCGCCTTCATCATCTGATATGATCAGCTCGTCTGCATCATCGTTGCCGCCTTTCTTCCCCTTCTTCTTCGCCCGCTTCTTCCGCGCAGCTTGTATTGTCACTTCGTCTCCAGAATCAAGGTCTTCGTCGGCGGGCGCTTTCCGCTTGCCCTTGCGCTGTGTGGGTTCTATCGTGACATGGTCTTCGTCTTCGGAACTGGATGCCTCTTCGGGAGGCGCGGCTTCGGGGTTGAAGTCCTCATCGGACGACTCGTGGTACTTCTCGTCGACGTTCTCGAGGTCTTCGTCGCCATAAGTGTGTGGCATGGTAAAGTGGGTATTGAGTCGGAGGCCTGGGATCGCGTCGCGCAAGCCAAAACGAAGATGCGCCAGATCGACGGCCAAGGCCAATGGGGTCTAGCGTGGCGCAAGGGCGAGCTCCAGACATCTGGAAGTTCATACGTCAGTGACGTGGGCGGGGAGGCAGGCGCGTTCCAGATCAAAACAAGCGAGCCATGCCTCCAGCTGGGCTGGCTTGCTTCTGTCTCCTCAACCTCACTGTCGCTGTCGCGTAATGCGCATTTGGTTCTATCACTGATCGCATCACCCCAGCCAACATCATGGCGCCAGTCGATACAGTCGCATCTACGCGCAGCAACTCACTCCCCATCGCTATCTTCGGCGGCCAAGTGCTCCTCGTTACAGTCCTCACAGCTCGTGTACTTCTCACTACTCGACGCGCCGCCAAATCTCAGCCACCATCAACGCGCACGCGCTCACAAGACTCGGCTCGCCGCCGCCATGCCGTCACCTTCTCCATCATTGCGCTTCTCTCACTACTCTCCGTCGGCAGCTTTGCCTTCCTCTGGCGCGCTATCTCCTACGTGCGATGGGCTGGAGAGAATACACATGACATTCCAGGTAGTCTCTGGAGTGGCTGGTATGGCACTGGCGAGGAAGGGAGATGGTATCTAGCCGACTGGATCGCGGACATCGATCTCGTGCGCGAGTTTGACAAAGTTGGAATAATGAAACCGGAGGGGTTTCTGTATACTAGCCAGTATTTCGTTGGACTGATCGCAAGCTCCATATTCATGGGCGCTGAAGGTATGTGCAATGCGATCGACGCAGGTTCTCCAAGTCCCTCACTGACTGGTCATCTTTAGGCCGCAGGCGCAATCTTTCCAACACAACCATTGCGTCGTTCGTACTACTGAGCTCTATTGGAAGCTTAGGGTACTCTTTGAGCTTGTTCTTCATCACCATCTTGTATACGCCTTTGACCATACACCACGATGATACCCCGTTACACGACGCGCTGTTCACACCATATGCTTTCGTATACGACACTGGCATCGTTGCGTCGCTCATTACTCTGAATCTCTTTCCACAACTAGTCTCCGAGTTCGGCGACAAGAGCATGATGCGACTCGGATACCTGGCCATGCCACTTGCCTTTGCATTTGCGCCACAGTTGGTTCCCTACGCACTGGGTCATCAGCATACGTCTAAAGCAGCGGCTCATAGATCATACGTCAAAGTCTTCCACGCGCTATCAATTGCCTCTATCCTCGTATACTGGCGTGTGTGGACTACTCTGGTGTACGTCAACAGACCTGCCCAGCGCTCCCACGTTTGGGATCTCTTCGCGAATTCTATTGCTAAGAGCGATTCGGCGAATGCAAACAGGCTTCTCGCAAGTATCAGCAACGCGGGCCAAGCTCTCAAGCACATCAGCATGCACCCGGCTATCAGTGTCACCAGCCTCGACGTCCTCTTTGCTGCCATCAGCTTGCTGACGTGGACTTTCACGCGCGATCTAGATGTGCATGCGATCCTAGAAAGCAGCATACTTTCTTTTCTCGTTCCCACCCATGAGAAGCACGTCACATTCAAGCAAGACCTGGCAAGAGTGATGGAGCATGCGAGCGAGCCCTCGTCCCCAATAGAGCCTCTTACGCCGAGGAAGCCTGGGCACCCGGCAAAGAAGGCTGACGTAAATGGTACATCCACTTCCGCATCCACGAGTGCGTCTCTCAGACGCAGCACACGAGGGAAAGCGCGCACTTCAGATGTGGATTCTGACGCAGGCTCATTTGCTGGTGACCCTGATGCTACATACCAACCAACAGAGCAGACCAAGCGCGCTATACAGGGAATGGAGTCAGACGGCTCCGCGCCTGAGGGCGATCTAGTTCACGCGGGAGAGTCGACTGCACTAGCTATGTTTCTTGTCTTCTTCGGTGGACTGGGTCAATTAGCTGCGGGTACGCTGGGTGCCGAGGTGACAGGACCGCGAGACTGAGGCGGTTGAGTGTATTGTACTTCAGATCGCCCGAGTAACGAACGGGAATTATTTTCTTATTGGAAACCTGAAGAGTACGCAATCTATGAGCTGTTTAGGGTAGGCGTACAGGGCCTTTGGTGTACGGGAACAAGGATGGATGGGAATAGCGGCTTTGGCTTTTGATTTTGGATACCCCGGGTGCGCCGGAGCGTCGGGTCGTTTTGATATTGCTTTTTTGGAATACAGTGTTTGCAGGGATATAATGTACATTTTGTGCGAAGTCATCAAGTTGACGAGCAGAGTGACGATAACGCGCATGTTGACATGTCCTACTGACTGGACTCCTACACGTGTGCGACGTCCATCTGACAGTAAAGGGGCACACAGCGCTGTATCAATGACGTTCGGAAATAGTCTCTGCTACGCTGTGTAACCTTGCTGCCGCGGATAACAAATCCTTGTCCCCCATGCGGCGTTGATATCGTCAGCTTGACTCAGGTAAGGTTGGGCTGACGGAGGTTGACTTCGGCACAACACTAATCGGGTAACTGTCCCAAGCCACAAAATACCAAGGCGTTCGCTCTTCATCGAAGTTGGGCTGGTGTTGGAGAGCTGGGACGAGGACAGAATGGTGGTGCCTGAAGATCTTCCCTTGTTACCGTAAGCGAACGTGGCCTGCACGCGACCAACCGCCTCCTCACAATGACACTCTCCGTCTTCTACGACGGTTCCAGATGCTTCAGCGTCGTGCCACTGCGGCTATTTATCAGCAGCACTGACTTGTCTCCGACCCGGCCTCGAAACGTGTTACAGTGACGCTCTGGTGCCCGACGACTGGGCGCGCGCGGAGAGCCATCCTTGCCGACCCGGCTTCTTCGGCTGCTGGCTGCCAACAGAGAGTGGTTGCGAGCAGTGAAATTGCAGGGCGGGCATCCTGTCAGAGGGCAATCCAAGCACTCCTGGAAGAGTTGTAGTACTCCCGAGCGTTTGGCTGAAGGCGTGATTCGGGTTGGGCGTCGGCTCATCAGCAAGGACAGCGGTTCTGGGGCAGTGGCAGGCTCGGGCCTAAAGACCATCACCACCGTGCGCAACGCAAAGACGCTACACTACCACTGAACAACCATGGAGGTAAGCCCAGATTCCTTCTTTTACTCCTTTGCTTTCCCCACGTGTATCGTCGTCTTCCCTATCTAGCTAGATTACTGGCAAAGCCCCGGCGGTTGCGTCGCGACTTCCTCAGCCCTATGTACGTCTGCACCATGGCCTGAGCTCCCTGGGTGCCTTCCGCTCGGTGTCGACTGCCTTGCGCGCATCACCGACTGTTGTTGTAGAACATCACGGGGGCTCCTGATTGACTCGTCGCTTCTCTGCCACCTCTCCTTTGCATGTACCGCCCGTCCTCGTGGCCTCTCCCTGCTGGTCTCGTACCACACGTTGTCGCAGCGTGCCTGTCACTTCCCCACGAGAGTAGCACGCTTCACTGCGCAGATGCCTGCCAGCTGAAGGGCGATAGGAAGGGCCGGCTCTCTGTTTTCTGTCTTTTCTCGGCGCGGCGCTTTCTTCACCCACGATACCCAATTTTCTCTTAGTTCTGCGACTTCTGCTCTTAGCGATATACCCTGTACCACTAAGCACCACCATGGAGAGCCGCTTTCTTTCACACCGCCCTTCAGCAACCTTCGATGCTGCTCGCGACATTGTTCGAGACGATGGCGCTGAGGAGAGGCGGACATCCGCTAGCTCATCTTTACTCAGACCAAGTGCTCAATTGACCATGGACCGTTTTCTGCAGGATCTATCAAACGCAGAGCAGCCACCTGTTGACTTTGCGCCGCAGTATCACACTGGTCGCGTCCCCAATAGCAAGGCGGGAGATGGCAAGCCGCGGTTGCTGCTCATGGGCCAGAGAAGGTGAGATCCGTCAAGGTCAGCGTGTTGAGCGCGCTAACAAATCCATCTGCAGGAGCGGCAAGTCTTCGATATCAAGTGTCGTCTTTCACAAGCTGCCGCCAAGTGAGACGCTGTACCTCGAAACGACGTACAGGATAAAGAAAGAGTCCATGCAGTACGTTAATCACCAAGTGTACGCATACATGGCTGACTAATAACGCTAGCTCGTTCATGGACTTTCAAGTCTGGGATCTGCCAGGTCATCTGGACTACTTCGATCCAGCTTTCGATACCGACAACATCTTCGAGGAGATTGGAGCTCTGATATGGGTTATCGATGCCCAAGATGAGTATCTCGATGCAATTGCGCGACTGAACATGACCATCCTCAACCTTCAGCAATCATACCCCAACATCAACGTGGAAGTCTTCGTGCACAAGGTCGACGGTCTTTCAGATGACTTCCGCGGTGACACTTTCCGCGACATCATTCAGCGCGTGCAAGACGAACTATCGGATCACGGCTATGAGCAGGCGCCCATATCTTTCTACCAGACTTCCATCTACGACCATTCCATCTTTGAAGCCTTTAGCAAGGTGATCCAGAAGCTCATCCCACAGCTTCCCACCCTCGAAGCGCTGCTCAACAACTTGTGTGGTGCCTGTAACATCGAGAAAGCCTACCTCTTCGACATCATGAGCAAGATCTACATCGCAACAGATACAAGCCCGACCGATATTGGCAGCTATGAGATATGCTCCGACTACATTGATGTAGTCATCGATGTTAGTGAGATCTATGGCTGGGATCGACCCGATGAGGGCGAGGATGAGAGTGAGACTGGTAACAACGATGCCGAGAGTCTAATCACCATGGAGAAGAAGAACAGCAGATATCTCTACTTGCGGGAAATTAACAAGTAAGCAGACTACCTGCATGGTTATGGAATCGTGAGTGTACTAACGATGGATACAGGTATCTCGCTCTAGTATGTATCATGGGTCAGGATAATCCAGCGGAAAAGAAAGCCATCATCGACTACAACGTCGGCGTCTTCCAAGCAGGACTCAAAAAGGTCTTCCCCAAGAGCGACAGAGAAGCGCAAGTCGAGATCCGCGATATTCACGACGGCGCTGAATGAGTGATTGGGGTGATGCTCATTAAATGAGGAAAGACCACTGAACGATTTAATACCTTAAGAAGCGGGAAACGCCACGATCTCTACATCATGCAAATCACACAACTAGTGGAGAGAAGATGGAAGATGGACGTTGTATATACACATACGAAAGGAGGGTTGTATTACTACAAAAGTGAAACATTCGCATGACACCTGCGATATCGTACAGTAGCCAGGTTACAGAAATTTGCATATTGACTCTACGAGTTATGCGATTCCAAGTCTTTCATGCCGATCTCATCCATTGCAAGTTGTCCAAAAGTGATAGTCCAGTAGTAGCGTCTTGGCCAAGATCGCCAATGACATCAGTCTGAAAGTGGCCAATCATCGGAACCGAGATTGTGGTACTTCCCGACAGCAGCACCTCGGAACGCGCAGGCGAAAGCAATCTATTCTCCGCATCGCGCATCCGACGGTTCCTGGCTTGCGGACACGTCTCCGAATACTTTCTTCGGCGGCTAGTTAGGGTTGTGCCTCGGTATCTGAGTGACGTTGACGCGGGAGTACCACACTTTGAGCTGCGTAACTGTTGGATGAACAGGTATGAACGTCTCCGAGCAACTCTCGCTATATGTAGACTGACCACGCAAATAAAGCAGTGCATCTGAACGCATTACCGTCACTACCACCGCCATAATGTCCTCATCACAGCGATACCGCCGTGCTGCGAAAGAGGAGCCCACAGACACGAACACGTCTTCTATTCCTCCGACCTCCTCGGGCGCTCAAGAGAAAGCAGAGCTTAAGAAAGCCGTCAAGGAGCAAGCCGCTGCGACGTCAAATGGATTATCCGTGCTGGACATACTGCGCATACTAGGTGGCGTCCTCCTATTGAGTTGCGGGCTGAGCTATCTGAGTACAAGTGGAGAAAGTATGACATGGGGATATAATGCATGGTGGACCAGAGCTCGAGAGTGGAAGAGCCTCATGGTAAGTTTCTCTTTCACATTCCAACAAGCTCTCGTAGCTAACATGACACGTAGCAAGGAGAACTCACCCTAACCGATGCTGAATTGGCTCTATATGACGGCAGCGACCCCTCGAAACCGATCTACCTCGCTCTAAACGGTACAATCTACGACGTTTCCATTTCGCCTACGACCTACGGACCCGGCGGCTCATACCACTTCTTCGCGGGCAAAGACGCAGCGCGCGCGTTCTTGACTGGTTGTTTCGCCGAAGACACTGTGCCCGACCTACGGGGCGTAGAGGAAATGTTTATACCCGTTGAGCCCGAAGAGAAAGCCGGTCTGACACCGGAAGAAAGAGAGGTGGAGATGGAAAAGGCGCGGAAGAGGAAACCATTGAGCAAGGGAGAACTGAAGAATAGGCGTGCACAGGAACTCAAGAGCGCCAGAAAACAGATGTCCGCTGGTCTGGAGGGCTGGCATATGTTGTTCCGTGGAGACAAGGGTAAGCCGTATAGGCGGGTAGGCTATGTCAAGAGGGAACCTGGATGGCAGGACAAAATGCCTAAGAGGGGCTTGTGCGAGCAGGCCGAAAAGGGCAGGCCGGTTCGGAAATATGAACAATAGGTCGAGCTTCCCTCGGCATACTGTCCTGGCCTTCCAGGCGTATATCCATTGTATATACGCACAAACTTGATGCCCGCGTCCCCAGCCTTCCTACTGTAAATCATGTCTAATAACTATTCTCACACTCGAATCTTCTCCTTCACTTGCGCGGCAAGTAAATATAGCTATGCTGCAATGAAGTATGTCCTTCTCAACCGACGCAATTTGTGAGGCATCTGATGGGCCCATGTGGCCAATCTATCCCAACAAAATACCGGTATATATTTGAGTCACACCGTCGCGTGACTTCTTGCAACTTGAGAGATCGAGCCTTCCATACTACAAGCGAAATGATGTGATCCAAAACGCAGAGCAGGCAGGAAGGGATAGCTATACTATACCAGAGGTTCTGACTTCCACAAGCGTATAAGGA